TAATAATTATAATAGTATATAATTTCAGTATACAATCTTTCAGTAGCTCGAAAATATAGAAATTCCGATATTATCGGGTTTTCCTGAGTATAGTTAATTGCGTGACATACTATTTAGTCTAGCTGCCTCGTTGTTCAACGTGACAAGCTGCTGATAGAGATCTTTGATCCTCATGCCGCTGCGTCTTCTCCATTCGATCCAGACATACTGCAATTCGTCCCAATTACGGCTTCTCGCCATGATCTGCGATATGTCTGCGGAACAACAACATTGTTAGACAAACGAGATCGGGCATCACCGTCCGGGATGATGAACGAGCGGATCGTCTGTTTGCAGGATCGTGCCTGTGCTGGAATAAGGTTTTCACCTCGGGCAGCTTTCACGGTGATCGCGCGACCGATTCGCCTCTGATCGTTTCTTGCGACACGTGTGATCTAAGCTTCGTGGAAAGCTGGTTACAGTAACGGTTAGAGATCACAGATACGCGCAGCTAATCTGCATAGTTCGACGCTAAACAGAACTTAAGTATACACGGTATGCAAATGAGACCTGACGAGACGTAGAATAGTTCCAAGTTCCACAGTGGTAAACTTTGTATACCCGAGTTATACCAGCTCGAGTTGTACAATTGCATCGATACACGTGCGTAACTCTTCGACTGTGTACACTACTTGATCACAGAAGTTTAGAACCGATCTAACGTAATCGAATAGATTCTAGTTAAATTTCAACCACGTAATTGCCTTTAAGTGTCGACGTTTCTTAGCTTATTTTACGCGATTTTATGGCTCGATTTTATTACTGTACAAATAAAGACTGGTTACGTGCTCGTTCCTAAGTAGCCATACATGACGGAACGATGTTCTACGGACGCGGAAAACTCTGGACCAGATGCTGGTCCAATCCCTCGGATACTCGAGATCTATTAAGCACTTTTCTCCGACCACGTGTTACATTCACGTTGGTTGTTACGAACGAAATCTGTGAGGATTAAATGAACCGTGAAGACAGTAGAATCGCTCAGAGGATCGTAAACTTCCGTGTTTCAATGGCGCCACGTCTCTTCGGCTGCTGATTGCCTCCTGCGGTTTACGAGGCGTCATTTACTATAACCAGACTCTCGAAGAACGTGTAACGCGAGAGAAAATCGTTTCTAAAATATCCCAGATCTCGGATAGGAATTAATCAGCCAGTCCTTTAAAGAGAAACGATCTTGTAAACATATCTTCCATGAAAATGTATGCTCTTCCCCCATTATACGAAAGTTGCAAGAAGAATTCGAGACGCATTTCGAGCCGGCGGCTTCGGAGATCTGCGTGGATATCCCTCGGAAAAAGGAACGGAGATTTCACGGAAAACCAGGCGAACAATGATGGAAGGCCGAAGAAGGGAAACGCGAAAGAAGAAGCTCGTCGGATGGAAGACTCGGCGTAGTTAATTCGCGATGAATTTTCATGAATCCTCTCCAACCCCTTTAAACCGGCGCGTCGACGCAGAACGCTGCAATATTCATCGTTCAATCGCGTTTTACGATTAGAGAGGCACTTTCTTGCGCGTAACAGCGGCCGCTTACGCGTTCCGCGGCAATTTCGCCGGCTGCCAGCCGTGAAAATCGTATCGCCGTTTATTTTCCCTTGCACAGACGACTCGAGTTCTTGGACGTTATTCATTACCTGGATAGAGCCGTAGCCCGCACCGGAAGGGATCGTTGTGCGCGCAAATGCTAGCCTCGTTGTACACCGCCAGCATGTCGTTGATCACGCGATTGTACTGAAAAAAGAAGGAAGAATAGAAGAAAGATGAAAGCAGCGAGATGGAGGAAAAATGGAGAGGGTAACGAGAGCTTTATCGGTCGCGAAGCTAACAAATGAGAGAGAAAAAGATGGCCGAGACGTTGTTTCCTGTGTCGAGGAACGTCTCGTGGTTCGTTTTCTCGTACGGTCACGCTCGTTATTAGGAAATGAAATCTGTTCTTGACAGATATTTCCTATCCGTCTGATCACTCTGTTACGCGGCGAACGAACCGGAAGTGCGTGTCTAGGCGAACGAATTGGCTCGATTGCTTTTCGTTTATTACACCGTGTTAGAGTTAATGGCTGTTTGCTTCCCTTTCTTTCGCGATTAATGACCACTCGGGATTTTTACGCTAATCGAGTGGGTTACGAAGAGAAACTGTATCACCGGTTGCAGCGCTATTTAGATTTCTCGTGCTAGGAAATTGGTTAGACGGATAGAATTACTATAGGTTACCACGGTTAATTCTAGGTATTGAGTAACTATTTACCCTGTCCAACTGGTCAGGTGGCAGAGCAGGTGGTCCGACCGCGGACAGGTATCTGAGACGTCTGCTAATCACCGGGTCTCTGATGTTATTCCTGTCGATCCTCGAAATCAGGAGCCACGCTTGGTTCTGAAAGTCTGCGTAGATCCTCTGAGCTTCCAGCTGAAACGGAATATTTTGATCTTCAGGAACTTCTTCGAGGCCTGTATTGAATAACCTGAGTCGTTTAATGACTCGTGTCGGGATACGTATAAGTCTAGTGACGAAGAGCAAGGTGGTAATCGGTTGGGGAAGGTGATCGTTCGTGAGAAACTGGTTCGAAGTGCAAATCGACCAGTGCCACGTTTACCGTTACAGATAAACGCTATCTCTACCCTTCCTGGGATTAGAGATAGACGAAGACATTAGAGGAAAAGAAAAATGCTCTAGAAAGCGTGCATGGGTGTCTTTATGGGTCATTGGGAGTCGCTCAGGTAGCGTGGAGGTACTCGAGATACAAGGAAAAGTTAGAGCTCGTTCCATTCCCTTTTCACTTTTCCTGTATCGATAAAAGAGGAACAAAAACTGGCCCAATCACGAGCAATATCTTTCCCAATTTCATACCGATGTCCAGTACGTACTGTCTGTGTCAAAAACTTATCTCTTACGAATAATTGCGTTAAAGGAAGAGAAAATAATTGCTCTAATTAATTTCTAGAGCTTGAAATTTAATTATTCGTGTGCTATGGGTCCTTACAGAAGTCTAATCCAAAAATGGTGAATGGCACGATAGAATATTTTAATTTAGTAGGACTTGGTAATGGTAATGGTAAAGACACCCATCAACGAAACTCAAGCGTGCAGTCATTTCGACTACTCTTCAGAATGCAACAGCAATACGAACAAACGGATATACTCGAAACTCTTCAGGAGGTTAAGCAACTTCGAAGAATCCCATGAACGCGTGCCTAACGTAACTGGCATACCCGCCATAGACGAGTTTCCCCAAGCTTGCAGGCACAATAAAATACAAATAAATATGAAGAAACGAGGCATGCCGACGATTATCATTAGCATCACGCGACTGCCTAGCGGATTTCGCGTTGAAGGCTGAAGATTTCCGTTCTGGAATCGTTCGGACTGATGTTCCGTTGCGAAATCATTCGGGATACACCGATGGCACAATGGCACCGGCTGGGAACGTTTCCCGCGGTGGTGTGGCCCCTCAACGGACAATAAAGGCCGGCCACCGTCGAGGAAATCCCCTCGTGCACGCGAAATTGCGATTCTCCGAGTCCTGACAGCAAAGATGACGTTCCACGGTCTCACGGGCCGATTCGTAGAGCAGGTCGAGGTCTCGGTGCCATCGAGAAACGTCCAACGATTGCGCTAGGCGTCGTTGGACATTGACAGGGACTTGGTCCTCGAAGCTCGGAATTTGAAAGTTAAATACTTTGTTTGATTCAAGCTGTGGTCTAATTAAGTCATAGGCTGATGGAGAGACTGGTCGTTAGTCTGGTTGCGACTCAAGGTCGTCTGGGTTAATTCCAACGTAATTCACGGTCGTAGGTTGGTGACTTTAGTTACGAAGAGTTGGCAAGTGGAACGATAAAGAATCTGTGGGACCATTTCCTTTTCTACTTTCACGACACCGAAAGTTTTTATCGTATGCGGGTGTTTGGGCCAGGATTTCGTAGGCCCGGTTGCTTAAATTATACATTCGTGGAATTTTAATTATCACGTTGGCCAATGAGTTATAACGGATTTTTATGGCAAATGGTACTCTTTCTTTTTTGGTACGAAACAGTGTTTTTAACTCATTCGATATTATGCAATTAGTCGATAATTATAATTAGCTGCTGTCAATGAGATGGTTAGACACTATACATCAAAATGATCGATACGTTGTTCTATAAGTCTGCTTTCCTATAAAAATTACGATTTTTGCGAGAAATATCGAAATTACTTTCTGGCCAATTCAATACGATAAAAGGGTATACCGGTGAACGGATTGGTACTTACAGCCTGCAATTGTGTGTACTCGTTCACGTCCGTTTCGTAGGCCCACTGTGCTGCCACATTGGCGCTGCATCTTTCGGTACCAAGGAAATCCAATCTAGCTAAAATGTCCTGTAACTCTGCCTCAGTGGGTGGAAACCTATTACCGAGATTGTTACGAGAGTCTTCATTCAGAGGGGGTAGATCCAGCTGACTGGAGACCAGAGGGAACAGACCCAGAAGAATCCAAGGAGACATCGCCTGAAAAATATGACGAGTAAAACATGGTTAGAAATATCAAGATACGATGTATCGGCAATTGGTCTGATTATATATCATTGATCGTGTGATCATTATTGCGTCGATAGCAGGTATTTATAGCGTCGAAGCTATATCCTGCCATAGGTCGATAATGGGGATGAACGATTCTTTCCAATCCTGCGCACCTGTACGCTCCCTCCTGTGTTAAATATCGAGGACAATGAACCACGGGAATGTTCTCAAGGTCTCATACTTTCCGCGAAATTTAATTACCACTTAGTGCCCCCGTCGCTGGAATTCTTTGGCTATTTCATGGAAAGTTTAGACAATTAACGGGCCAATGGCGGCGAATGTCTACGTAGCTCAACGTGATTCTAGGTAACGACAAAGCCGGTCAATTTAACGACAATCATTAGCCCGACAGAGGATGCTATATTGTTTTCATAAATCATGCAGCTGTATTACGAGCCAAGCTTTTACGTCGATTCATTTGTCGACTTCACGGTCACGTGTTACGTCTTCGCGTTACGTATTTCCTTTCAGCACGAAAGACTGTTCATGCAGAGTAGTAGGTCATCTACGATCGCAGGCATCTACGATCCTGCAACCTTGAACGTTCGATACTCGAGCACGATCGCGGCGCGATTAATCGACGCGTGAGAAACTCGTTCATCCTCGATATCCAAGTCACAGACGTGTTATCTACCATCTCCATCGCACCTCATCATCCAAGCGCGTCTACTTTCATAAAGACGAACGTCTACAAATTTCCATCGACCCTGGCGAAGGGAATCGTTCAGCGAATCAACCCCTTCCGACGTCTACCACCCCAACAGCCGTACACTTTCACCGTGGAACCGAAGAAACTGCCAGACTTATCAATCAACCCTCCACCTCAGCCGAGCCCCACTTTCTCACAGCAACAAAGCCGTAAAACTCTCCAATTAACAGGTTCACCGATCCATACGCCAACCCCTCTAGCTCCCAACCCCATTCACGTCGCGCACTTTCGTCTCTTTACAGGATCCTTCATCCGCATCCTCTGAACGTCCTTCGTTCCCTTCTCCGAGTCGATCAGCGAGCGAAGTCACCCCGGAGGGTGTCCACGCGGCTCAAAGAGGGAGAGACTTACGAGTCCTTTCATCTCTCTGTGATCCAGCGTCGGTCACCTCTGTCGGGACGCTGTTCGATCCCGGATTGAACAGCCTGGCACACGGTCTCGCGGCTGTGGACGATGCACGATGAGACGCGACGACGATTGTGACGAGCGGCCGTTTCGTTCTGGCGTCGTTAATAGCCCCGTGGCCGACGCCAAGTGTACATTTATCCCTGCGAAGCAGTTCGAACGCGACCACAGGGAGGTCATCCGTGGCGAGAGGTGGGGATCCGTGCACACCTCGGTGTCGTCGTCGCTTCGACGACGTCTCCACTCGTGGACAAGCGTGGGAGGATGAAACGGGAGGTGGGACGTGTTGGAAAAATGGAAAAAAGAGGAGAAACTCATTGAGAGAGTAAGAATGGATCAAAGAGACGGTGGAGAACATTGGGGGTTGAATCATGGCCCCTATGTGTGTCACTACCAAATTTAATTAACACTGGAACTACCAATCCAGTCAAAAAAGGATAGTCCCAGAACTTCCCTTTCCCAAATTACTAAAAACATATATCTGTTTTTAAAAAAATTAATGTCTACTTGTATTGAGATCGTAAGAATAGATCAAGGAGACGATGGAGAACATTGGGGGTTGAATCATGGCCTCTATATCTGTCACTACCAAATTTAATTAACACTGGAACTACCAATCCAGTCAAAAAGAATGGTCCCAGAACTTCCCTTTCCCAAATTACTAAAAACATATACCTGTTTTTAAAAAAATTAATGTCTACTTGTATTGAGATCGTAAGAATAGATCAAAGAGACGATGGAGAACATTGGGGGTTGAATCATGGCCTCTATATCTGTCACTACCAAATTTAATTAACACTGGAACTACCAATCCAGTCAAAAAGAATGGTCCCAGAATTTTCCTTTCCCCAATTACTAAAAACATATATCTGCTTTAAAAAAATTAATTTCCACTTGTATTGGGAAAAGACTGGTCTCAGATTTTTCCCTAGATAGCCTTTCCACATAAATAAATTGTAAGATAACTAAAAGCCATCTTTAAGTTGCAAGGTAAGAGAATTATGAATAAATAATAATAACAAATATATCTGCTTTTGAAAAAATTAATATCCACTCGTATTGGGACAGAATTACTACTGATCGAATCGAAAAGACTGGTCTCAGATTTTTCCCTAGATAGCCTTTCCACGTAAATAACTTGTAAGATAACTAGAAGCCATCTTTAAGTCGCACAATTATTTAATCATTATTATGATTAAATAACAATACAAAATATATCTGCTTTTAAAAGAATTAATGTCCACTCGTATTGAGATATAATTGTAATTAATACTAATTACCACTAAAATTACTGTTATTGCTATTGCCTACTATTGCCACTAATTATGCCCACTATGTTTAGCTCCACCATTAAAAATCGGTACTTCTAGTGTTAACAATAAAAGCCACTCTTTACTGACTCGCTATCAAACACTTTGCAATGTCACCCAAAATTTTTCCAACCAATGATATATTTGCATTCACTATGTCTTTTTAAGGACTCCACTTTATGTATATGTAAAATGATAAGGATCGATTGAAACGGAATGTCGAGTCCAAGTCTATATAGGACTGTGAGAAATTAAACCTTGTGTTCATTCGTCATATTAATCATCCGTTAGTTTATGTACAAAGTACCTCGTAATTATACGTTACCACTATTATAGCGTGGTTTTGTACCTTCGTATCGCTAAAGATCTGCTAAAAAAAGTGGCCATAAAATGGTCTTCGAGCACGATTTTCAGGGTCAAATTTTTTCCTTGCATTGTATTCCACTCACCTACAGAATACATAGGATAATCAATACTTAGTACACGAAGGAATGAACTCAATAACGAATCATAACGCTCAAGGGGTTAAAAAGGGTTGATTAAAAGAAACGAGAATGTAGAACTCGTATTAAAACCTCCATTACTGAATTGGAAATCGGTGATCGACATGATACATAGACCGAGAAGATTGCAGTTTTTATTTATGTTTTTTATTGTTCGTGGCGTGACAGTTCGTGTGAATACACAGTAGTCACTCGTTTCTTGCTGCATCTCTGTCACTGTTATTTTCAGTCGGAGCACCTTCATTCGTGACACCTAGTTTTTCAGCAAACCGAGAGATCGAGAGGAGAGACATTAACTGCATTTGCCACGTTACACTGGGATAAAAGTACGAGATATACGAACAGGAATTCGAAGGAGACAGAATATTACGAGACGAAAACAGGCCAGAGAGAAGGCTGCGGAATCGAGGACCAACCTGCTGGTCGATTGCGAAAGCTCGAAGCTCTCACGTTGACAAGCGTCGTCGACCCCTCTCAATGAGTCTCATTGTCTGCGAGTCGAGCACGCGCCTCTTTTGCGTCTCGCAACAAGTCTTCCATTCGTCTTCCAGCTTCGTGGATAGCTTGTCGCATTATCGCGTCGAAAAATTAATCCGAAATGATCTCGTCGAAATCCTCGGGGAGCTTAAAGTTTCGAGAAACCTACTAATTTTCGAGACTCCATTTGCGACGAAAGGGTTCAGCCAGGTGGTTGAATGGTAATCGATCAAAGCGGGGATGGATGGAAGATAGATCGAGACTCCGTGGATGATGGATAGCGAGAGGATAATAGCTGTTATTCCAGATAAGATTAGGGGATGAAACGAAGCGCGAAAAATTGTCATCGTCTGGCGGACCCTCTGTTCCCGTCAAAGGGGTCCTTGTCGACACAGATTTCTCAAAAGCCCTCGTCTAACCACCCCTCTACATTAGGTACCTAATCTCCAGTCTTCTCTCAGTGTTCTTCCAGTATTTCTTTAACCACTTGAGCTACGATTTAACTTTCGGTTGTCGTGCCGCGCTCTACAATATAATAAGGCGTTACATTAACGTGGTATACACGTCGCTGGCGGCTTTGGAACAAAAGCATCTCGACGTATTTGCGCTACGATTTAACTTTCGGTTGTCGTGCCGCGCTCTACAATATAATAAGGCGTTACATTGACGTGGTATACACGTCGCTGGCGGCTTTGGAACAAAAGCATCTCGACGTGCTTGGCACGTCTTTACAGAGCAAGTGGTTAAAGCTAGACCTACTACAATCGGTTGAATACTTGTAAAATTGAAATAAAATAATTTCTTGAAGCGTCTGCTCGTTTTCCCATTTTTCTTTTCTCATTTTCCTTCGATGCAGTGTCACAGACAGCCTGGTGACACGGATCGCGGTTCAAAGCGAGGGATACGGGGTAAATCGACAATCTACGACGTTCAAAGGAATAACAGGTTTTGCATATGAAACGTCGATCAACGAATTCCCCGAAGACGAAAAAATGACTCGATTCAGGTGCATGATTCATCAACGAGCGTGCGTCTAATTACGTAATTATCTCCCAGAGGCAATCTCATCGATGTCGCTTCCTGCTTCGGCTACCTGCGTCTTCCTGAGAATTCTCTAAGCGCCATTGTGTCACCGTCGCATCAGCCTTTAATTGAAACCGTGATTCATAATTTTGCAAGTTTTAATAACGCTGCTTGGCCGTGGGAAGGCGGCGGGGTAGAAATTGCACGTTTAATATTCATTGTTCGACAGTCGGTTTTCGACTCGCGATTAATCGCGAACTTCCGTCGTTTCTGCCACATCAACCTGACGATGATTCAGAAACTCGAACCTGTTCTCATGCCACTTTTACGTGCAAGGGTTCGAGCCAAACTGTCAATTAATATCAACGCGATATACCTGTCTCAAGATCAGTCATAGATCCAGCGGTTTCTTTCCTCTGTCAAATTATCTCGTTACCCGAGATAATTCGTCCATGTTGCGGATAAATTTACGTAACTATCGCTTGAAAACCTTGTTACGGCTATCACCGATAGCTTACGTAACGTTTCAGTTTACCGTATTTTCGCTGCGCTCGCGGTTTTCCATGCAAAGTGATAAGACGGTGCACCGTGGGAAAGAATGCGGGGAAAATAAGCAATTAATATTCATCGCGAGCACTTGTCCAAGGCGATCGTCGTGCGCTGCTTTTCATAGATCAAGAAGCACGCGTCCACCTGAGTGACGCATCGGCTTCACACCAGCTAAACTCACTGATCGGCGAGAAAACCGTAAACAACCGCGCCCTGTGCCACGAGGATTGTCTCACGATGATCTGGAACGTGAATACGTGACTGCAACTACCATTTGCTTTGCCAGACCTTGATTCACTATGGCGAAGCTCTCCTGTTAGTGCATACCTTTTATTCCACATAACGAGCTACCTGTTTGCGTAACGAGTAAGTACCCATCGCTTATTCTCCCCCAAAATAAATAATTTTCATTCCTTGGAAATTTCTTAAAATATTTCCACCTTCATCGGCTATTTAAAAATTGATTTATCGCGATCTACGATTTTAATCGCGTACCGGCGATTATGACAGTGGTCTGAGTCACGCGAGCTTCGCTTCGAGATATCAAGAGCTTCGCGTTTTCGATATATTATAAATTTAAAAATAAATCATGGCACATTCTTGTCTATCGTAATATAAACGCAGACAATGCGGAGTGAGGTAAAATTTTCCACTCAGACCTCTTTCGCAATTGCCGGAATACATGTGTCGTTTACAAGAAAACGTAGTCATCTCCATCTTAAAAGTGTTTCACAGATTTTATAACCAGAGCTAAGAATTTTATTGTTAATGTAAATTTATATTTCTTCATTTCGAAGAGTTAATCGATTCACAGATGAGCGAATCGTACGTCGATCTCTCGTTTCACCGAAAGAGCAACTCTCTGGCGATCTAGCTTGGTTTTCGGAGATCATACGTATTCGAGATTACGTTTCACACGCGCTCAGCTAATTACCAGGGTCTTCGCCGGCGAAATTGAATTAACGCGGAGAAGGACACATACGGAACGCGAATTCAGGTTTCAATGCCGAGCGCAGGCGGTAACGCAATCATGGGGCAGGTGGTTTTTACTTTAAAAGCGCGCCTCGTGTTCTCCCAGCGAGCAACTTCGACAATGCTAATCCCGGCGGCAGATAATGGGTGCACCGGTCCCACGTACTGGCCGCAATTCTGGGTTCAAGTACGCGAACGTTTACGAGGCGCAGCCGTGCGTTTCTTCAGCCTTCTTGCCGGTGGCTGATAGATCTTCGCGATCATTCTCTTTCCCAAGCAAG